TTGTGGGCATCTCTATGAGTTGTGGACCTCAAAATTCTCCTTCCAACAGCGTCACTCCACAGAGCACTTAATTGTAAATAATTGGCATGCCTGTTTTTCACGATTATTCTTCTTAATGCTCTTCGGTCGGCATTTGTGATATTACTTTTTTTCACATATCGTGGCTTAATATTAATTGAACCAGTTACGTTATATCTTCTAACAATACTTCTCACATTGTCCCGCGATAAGTCTAACAAAGTTGCAATTTCTGCGTTTGATTTCCCAGAATTAAAAAAATTAATTATCAGTAACCGAATTTTCTCACTAATAACCTTTCCTCTACCCATTTTGAAAACCTTAACTACCCAAAACTATTTTAAACGTATTCTGACAGCTGTGATTAATAAAAACCATTGTCATGGCTTTTATTTTTCACAGCCACCTATGCGTTATAGACTTATTTTGCATTGAAATGAAAATAGGTTGATATGCTGTAAGTGCAACATGTGTTATTTTTAGGCTGCAAATTTGATTAGGGAGTGATCAAGTTGGTGTTTTCTACTATATATTTCCAAAATATTCACTGTTAATATTTTAAACCTATAACACCCTGCTACATTTTTATTATTTGTGTTTGATAAGAAAAAAACTAAGATTTCAATAGTTGGGCCAACTGAAGTGGGAAGGGGCTCGTATATTCTGACTTTCTAATAAAATCTCGATTTGGTTAAGCTTGATAATAATAGCTTGGACATTAACACGACAGTATCTCAGTTTACTGACCAGTTCTGTTTGAAAAAATCGAAAAGTTTTTGCTAGAATCCCATTTCGCCAATTAGCACTATTAAACAATTCATCTGCCAGATCATAATCAACACCTATTTTAAAAGACTCAGCCCGCAATTCTTCAGGCTAGCAATTTGTTGACCTCGAATAGTCTGCTGGGATACTTTTGACTGGGAAGAGACTGAATGTCCTCTACAGATGTACCTGGTGCATTGGCTGCAGACGTTCCCGTTCCAAAAACGACTCTGCGTTTCTTGCCACATCCTCCACTTGTTAAGGTTGTTTTTCTTTTATGCTTTGTGTGTTCTCCGTTTGTCTAGAATCTTCAGCAGTATCGCTATCAGATACTTGTTCTTTACTTAATTTGTAGTTTTGCATTTTCAGAGTTTGCGTATTTTTGTTTTGGGAAATTAGTTACATGAAGGGTCATTTGATAGGTTTTTTAGTAGTCTTGAGAACTTTTCTTTAAATTTCTCGAACATAGTTGAGAGATCTTTCTTCAAGGTTTCATATAAGCTATTGTATAGCACATTATGTACTTCATCAGTAGTGTCATAGGGGTAGAATTGCTGCTTCCATCTTTGAATCCCTTTTTCAATACCTTAGTCTCATTACTATCCTCAGTTAGAGTGTCAATGTGATGAAACATCTCATTAAGATATGACACTGAGTTTCAAAAGATTTAAAAACCCTTACAGGTTATTGATGTAAGAAACCCGAAAATCTATTCTTGACTTACGTTGTTTTAGCAAGAAATGGGGTTAGTGGTATATAATTAAATTAAGCATGTTTTAATATATTAAGGTATATAGGCGAAACTCGGGCAAGTAGTTCTTCTCGGTGATTTCAATGCCCATAATGAGCTTTGGTTGGGCTCAAACAAGACCGATGCAGCAGGTCGTTCAGTCGAAGCGTTCGCTCTTACTCAAGGGCTGACCCAGCTGGTGACGAATCCTACTTTTTTCCCCCGCGTCTCGTCACACGCCAGTAGTTTGCTGGATCTCTTTGTGACCATGCATCCTGTCCCTCACAGCACTGCTGTCCTGTCCCCCCTGGGTAACTCAGAACACGGTGTTGTGAAGGTTAGGTTTCGGTCAGAACCCGCTGTGGCAGCAGAAACTCGTACAGGCCGTAAAACTTGGCATTACCGACATGCGGACTGGGAGGGGCTCAGAGACTTCTTCTCTAGCTTTCCTTGGAGAGATGTCTGTTTCACTGATGCGGATGCGTCGGCTGTCTGTTCTTCGATAACCGAAATTATCCACGTGGGAATACATCCCTCACGCAGTGAAAGTACCTAAACCAGGGTCCAACGACTGGTTTAACAAATCGTGTGACACTGCTCGACAGCAGAAGATCAAGGCACACAGAACCTTCTTACAAAACCCCACTGTAGAGAACAGACAGGTCGACGTAGAGTCCAGAAACAAATATAACGCAGCGGTTCGCAATGCCAAAAACCAGCACGATATAAAAGTTAGGCACATGGTAATGTCGCAGCGCAATGGCAGTCGGTCTTTCTGGATGCTGGCCAAGCAGATTGAAAACTTCTCACACAGTAGCCTTCCACCACTTACGTGTCAGGATGGAACTATTGTATTCGACTTAAAGGCCAAGGCGGAAGTGCTAGCCGAGATCTTTGTTGCCGACTCCAACATGGACGTTCCCCCCAACACCCAAGTGCCGTCAGTTCAAAGACGAGTGCTCTTGTCGCTCGACTTCAACAAAGCTTCTGGTCCGGGCTTGATTCCTGTCATTGTGCTGAAGAGGTGTGCACCGGAGCTTGCTCCATTTCTTTCGCGTCTCTTCCAGATATCTTATGAATCCGGCATCTTCCCAGAAAACTGGAAATTTGCTCATGTCCAACCCATCCCAAAAAAACTATATATATATATATATATATATATATATATATATATATATAACCGACCCTTACAACTACAGGTCTATATCTCTGCTTTCTGTTATAAGTAAGGTGATGGAGAGGTGCATAAATCGCGAGCTTCTGGACTACCTTGAGAGTCACAGCTTGACTAGCGACAGGCAGTATGGTTTCTGGCACTAACGATCCACAGGGAACTCCTAGCCTACGCCACGCAATTGTGGAGTAAACTCATCCAGTCTCATTGTGAGGCTCATGTCGTTGCTCTTGACATCACGAAAGCGTTCGATCAGATGTAGCACGCTATCCTCTTAGGCAAACTTCCATCCTATGGCCTTCCAAAAAAGCTTTGCAGATGGGTGGCTGACTTTATCTCTGGCCGCAAGATATCCGTCGTAATTGACAACGTCAACGCGGGTGTTCTCCAGGGATCGGTCTTGGCTACGACACTATTTCTCTTACATATCAACGACCTCCTTTCCTGCATGATCATCCCAGCTGATGACAGCACTCTACATGCAGAAATTTAGAGTGACAAGCCGATCTCTGCCACTGGGTTGGAAAGAAGAAGACTAGCGACGACTTTCTCTCTGACAAGAGACCTGGAGGCTATATCTGCTTGGGGATGCAACAATATTGTACAGTTCAATGCTTCCAAAACACAATACTGTACTTTGACGAACAGAAAGCGTCCTAGCGCTCATCCCGTTTCGATGGATGGCCGAGTTCTGCCAAAGAGCCATTTATTTCGGCTGGTTGGAGTCCAGATCACCGAGGACCTGATCTGGCACGAAAACATCTCGTCAATGGCAGCAGCTGCTAGGAAAAAGCTAGGCTATTTGTTTAGGGCTAAGAAGTACTTTTCTCCGCATGACCTCACTCTATACAAGGCCCAGATAAGGCTTAGTCTCGAGTATTGCTCACACGTTTGGGGTGCTGCCGCCCCGACTACATTGTCCGTGCTCGATGCTGTCAGACAGTCTCGGAACTCTTTCGCACCGGCGGGCCGTCGACGATCTAGCTCTTTTCTACCGCTACACCAACGGGCTTTGCTCCTCAGAGCTCTCTTCCATGATGCCGCCGTGCAATGTTCCTGCCAGGCAGACCCGCCTGATTTTGGCGTCCCATCCTAACCGTGTCGAACTTCGTACATCCAGAACTGACCGATACGCCCGCTCCTTTGTCCCGAGGGTGTCGAGGTTGTGGAACAATCTACAAGAGGATGCTTTTCCCAGTTCTACTAACCTTAGGTAGTTCAAAAATCGTATTAACAAAACTTCTTTGGGATCATCATAGCAGCCACGGTGTTCCGGTATTTAGGCTTCAGCCTGCGCGGCTGCTTCGAAATAAAAAAGGACAGTTTTGCGGTATAACTTTACGCGTGGTTTAAGTATAAGCCAGTGCTTAGAAGAAATGAGGCTTGCATTAAAGAATAATTGTCCTCATCGTACGACTGAGATGGTATAGGGAATTCCAAATGGGCAATTTCACTCTGGAGGACGCTGGGAGGGAAGGAAAGCCGCGGACGTCAGTAACACAGGAAGACATTGTTGCTGTATGGAAAATGCTTGACGAAGACAGGAGAGTAACATACCAACAGATAGAGGAGACCTTACACTTTCATGCACCAGCAATTAATTCAATTCTGCATGACCATGTGCACAGAAGGAAACTTTCTTCTGTCTGGGTACCGCATAGTCTCGCGGAAGAGCAAAAGACTCGTCGTACGACTTGCCGAAAGATGGTGAAAATGTTTAATAACGGACAGTCTCAGTATGTGAACAGCATCGTGACAGGTGACGAGACTTGGCTCTAATATTACGATGTGCCGACCAAGGCTCAAAACAAAGTTTGGGTCTTTGATGGTGAGGACACACCCGTAGCTGTTAGAATATCTTGATCTCTTAAGAAAAAAATGATATCTGTATTTTTCAAATCGAATCACAGCTAAGTGGTACACGAAACAGTGAATGCCTAAAGTCATAGAGTCTATGAAAAACCTGTGGCCAAAATCAAGAATGGACACATGGTACCTCCACCATGACAACGGTCCAGCTCACCGCGCCAAAGCCTGCACCGAGTATTTGACCACTACTGGACTGAAACTTATTGATCACCATTCTTACAGTTCAGATCTTGCTCGCTGCGACTTTGCACTGTTTCCGCATGTGAATGAAGCTAAAAGGAGAACGGGTTTTTAGCGATGAGGACCTTCTGTGGGCTTGGGACAACCAGTGTGCCGCACTCCCGGGTGAAACTTGGATTATCTGGTTTAAAGACTGGTGTTGGTGGATTGAGAAGTGTATTGAATGTGGTGGAAATTTCTTTGAACGAAGTCAATAAATAAAACTTGTATATAACACAGATATAGCTCTGGAAACGTACCACAATCGGAAAACGTTTAACTGATTTCAAACGCTTACGCTAATTCAAATGAACTAATAATGGATATATTAATGAAATCTTTGAATGAAGATGACATCGTACGTGGTATATCACGTATCGCGAACGCGTGTGTTGTCATAATGCGAGGTCGATAAAATAGACGGTCGCGCTTTCAATTGTTTATTCTGCGATCAGCGATCTAGCAGGCTGTGCTGGGTCGCGATTGGATCGCCGGGAAAGGGTTCAGTGCATCTGGCGCGGGGTTTGACGGTTTCAGTTTGGTTGCGATCTGAGTCTTCGGTTAATTTTTGAATTTTGGTGGTTCCGAAGGGTTGTGAATAAGGGCTTCTTGGAGATTTACCGAAGACATGACTGTTTCAGGTAGGTGTACCTTTTTTAAAAATATATATTTATAAAGGCTAGACGACGCTGACTTATTGATAGTCATGAATTCTCGATAACTATTTAGCCTATGAATATGGAATTTGACAGGGAGGTAGCTTCTCGCAACAAACACACTCTCACTCAATGAAGGCGCAAAGATACCCATTAATCATGAAATCCGGTCTTGACATATGAACATGGTATTTGGCAGGGAGGTACTTTGTAAGCGCCGCGACAGCTAAGACCGAATTTTGATACAGGGCTGGATTAAGGGGGTCGAGAGTTTTGACAAGCTTCTATCAACTTCCTTGGTGTTTTCTTCTAGACACCTAAAATTTGACAGGGATGTACTTAATAGGCAGTCTATGTGAATTGAGAATGGATGTTGTGACGGAGACTGAGACATTTTGTGAGCAGTAGATGTACGTCAAGGCAGAAGGACTTAGAGGGTGGAGGATAGTCGCAAATTTCTATGAAATTCCTTTGTATGTCTAGTAGAGACCTACAGTTTGATAATTAGATACTTTATAGGCAGTAGATGTCTTTAAGACTGGATTATGCAACAGAGCCAGATAAGAGCACTTGCAAGTCTGTTTGGTTTGGTTTTTTTGCTATATATCTAAAATTTGACAACAATGTATTCGTGTATAGTGGATTTTCACACTAAGAAGGAATTTGGGACATGCAAACTAAGGCGGTCTAGGGGATGTAGTAATTATGTATCTACATCAGCTTTCTGCATCAAGGTTTTACTCGCGGAACGTATCGGTGGCGCCACTGTACACCAACTACTGTGCTTTTTCGTAGAAATAGAATTATTTCCTGTCGCAAAAAGTAGCCAATACATCATTCGTGTATATTCGGTGTGCTGAACAAGGACAAATACAAACACACAAAAAATGATTTAAAATTTAAATAACGGTATGTCAATAATTATTCTAATTCCTACAATCTTGCTGACAATTTTTTTGGTGATATTGGTAGATTATTGCTTTCTAATGATAATGTTGATTTGGCGTCATAATAGGGCTGCCTTTTTGAGAACGCGTTTGATCGAAATTCTCGAAAACCATCGATCGTATGTGAAAAATTAATAGAAACAATTTTGTAGGGAATCAAATTCGGCAGCATTTTGCTTTATCGTATGGTCAACATATCACGAGACACTAAAGGGTAAAGGTACATGTAATGATATTTCTGCTTATAATGACGTAGAGATTTTGGGTACTTAAAAGTATTGCACTTTTAAAGTCTTGACAAAGGTAAATTACATCTGACTATATTAACAAAATGAATGTAGCACTGGACATTTAACTGACTTTTTTAACCATTGCTTTTTTTTAGTAACAGTGTACAATCTAGTAGCCAATCCCCCAAAGCTCCCATATTACTATAAACATGAAAAACAATATGCTTAAACAAAAAACTTACATACAGACTTTAAAGCTCTATGTCGCGACTCAGATAAGGTGACAAGTGTCATGACATATTGACATTGGCCAAAATTCCTCTACATATACCTGTTACTAGTATTAGCGACGAACAATATAGATGATGTGTGAATTTATGGAAAAAATTGGCAATCACTGATTTTCATCCATCCTAACTCGCGGCATCTACACAGAAAACTACTAATTACCGGCTGTGGTGTTTGAGGATACATTTCTGGTCACAAACTTCAACATTTTTGATCTACAGATAAAGTTGGAATCAACTCCGAAAGCCATATGCTTGAATGTGATCGCTATATAGCCTTCATCTTTTTTCTGAGCTGGTGATCGTTGCGATGATCCTTGATCGAATAGTTACCCCAGTAAATAATGAATTCGCCCAATCATTTACTTAGTCTGCAACACAAACAAAATGCGTTAATTCAATGTAAACGTGCATACATATTTATAGTATACGTATATCCATTAGCATTTCTGATTGGAATATATGTTAAGGTGTGCTCGTGTACGTTAACTCAGTAATTTGATCCTTCGGTAATATAAATGAACGTTCACAGGTCAGAAGAGTATGTAGAGCATCTGCATTGAAATTAAATATTTGCGCACAATAAAGTTAAGAATGAGAATTATGGACAAGATAGTAAGACCAGTTAAGCCTTAGGATGAGAATTGAGTATGTCAGATAGGAAATAAGCCAGTACCTATAAGCTGACGAGTTTTATCTGAACCTAGAAGAAATACTAAAGCCTTGTTCAAAAGTTATTGTAGTGAAAACATACACTGAGAACCAAATTTGTCTGACTGCTTGAGTTCAATGTGCATGAGAGAGAAGTGTATGTAGACACATATGTTAAAAAGAGATAGAAGCCGGCTGAATAGCGAAGCTCATTACTGCGTTGCCTAGCAACTCTGGCGCGGCAATCTGCTGCGTTGCCAATATGTCACATCAATTCCGTGAGTCAAGGTGCATGTTGAAAATATACGTTAGTTTATCCTCAACGCCAAAATAATGGATTTATTTTGAGCGTACACATTTTTTAATTGTGAATTGTGTCGAATCTGTTTAGGATCGACTCCGGATCGGTGCCAACGAAGTTCCACCTTTGGCCGAAATCAGTATCGTCACAAATTCTGCAATATTGCGTCATTGCGTCGCTTTTGGCCAGTACTCATCTAGCGCTCATTGGGGAGTGTCGTGCTGCTTCGAAATGGCTGACACCAGCGTACACGCACGCAGTGATAATTTGTATCGCATAATGGTACTACATTTTTCGACCGCTCAGGATGTGTTGATTTGATCTCCATCGGTGGAAATCAAAGATAATTGTATAATAAACTAGAACACCATGTCGCATCAAAATTGAAATAAATAATTCTAATCAAAATGAAAACAAAGCATTAGGGGAGGCCGGGGCTGGTTGTCACATGGGTTGGTTGTCACAATTGTTAAATCTCAGCAGCTCCGCAAGATGTAGTTGTCTGGCGCGCTACAGATCGTTTCTGCGTCCGCGCAGAACACTTGTATTCAGTACGAAAGTTGTCGTTGGTAGATTAAGGTCGCACGCACAAAAATAAACAAATCATGTTCATACATTTTGCTATTCAATAATCCAAATATGACTTAACGTAAGTATTGACTTTGAATTTGTTAATTTAGTGACGCTACCTAACCCTAAAAATTAATTATCTAGTGGGACAGGCTGTCTCAAATTAGCGGGGGCCTCTTGTCACATGTGACAACCAGCCCTCACACTAGACGATTAGCTTTTCACAACATTCTACGTAGGTATATGTATACAATGTATTTTTTTAATATTTTTATGTTACATAAGCATGGTTCGTAATTTCAAAAGGAAGACTGAGAAGGGCAAAGCGCCGCCTGACGTACTTTTAAGAGCTGCTAGGTTAGTGAGATTAGGATTCTCAATAAGAAAAGCGGCAGCTGACTTAAATTACCGTACTTTAGCAAGATACTGTAAGAAAATTCCAGAGTCTGAATTACTTGATGATCGAGTTGTTGCGCCGTCAATTTCAGTTGGCTACATCAAAAATCCTTTAGTATTTGAGCCTGAACTTGCAAATCATCTAGTGGAAGTGTGGAAGTACGTGGACTGGCATATGAATATGCTAATGCTATTTCTTTGGAAATTCCGGAAAATTTGAAGCTCCATAAAATAGCTGGTCCTGACTGGTTTTTGAAACGTCATCCTGTACTGTCTATTAGCAAACCGGAAGCAACTAGTTTAGCAAGAGCCAGTAGTTTCAATAAAACGGACGTCAACGCATTTTTTGATAATTTAGCTTCAGTATGGAAAAATATCAATTTGAGCCTCACGAAATCTGGAACATGACGAACCTGGGATTACAACTGTACAAAGACCCGACCGCGTTGTTGCCAGAAGAGGATTCACACAGGTTGGTTCGATACTTTCATCCGAAAGAGGAACTCTTGTCACTTTAGCAAGTGGTGCAGCATCAGCTATTGGAAATTCCATACCTCCTTTTTTCATTTTTCCACGGGTACATTTCAAACCACATTTTTCAAATTCGGCTCCTCCTGGCTCACAAGGTTCAGCAAACCCATCAGTCTGGATAAAAGAGTCACATTTCTTGGAGTTTCTTAGATTTTTTCACCTTAATGTGAAAAGTACTGTGGAAAGACCGTGCCTACTTTTACTAGATAACCATGGATCATATGTGAGTATAAAAGGACTGAATTTTGTCAAAGCAAATGGTATTTTCATGCTCTCTTTTTACCCTCACTGTTCGCATAAACTTCAACCTCTTGACCGCGCCGTTTTCGGCCCTTTTAAGAAATACTTCCTTCGATGCTTGGGTTTTAAATAATCCCGGTAAGACCATGACTATATACGACATACCTTCAGTGGTCTCTATTGCATACCCCCTCGCATGTACTCCCAAAAATATACAGTCTGAATTTCGGGTGTCGGGTGTGTTTCCTTACAACAGACATATTTTCACGGATGATGACTTTCTTGCGAGCTCTGTCACTGGTCGGCCAGATCCGGGTATCTTGAACGAAGCAATAACTGCACCAAACCCGGAAACCTTAAACGAAAAGGAAGTTGGGCCAAATCCAACCATCTTGAACGAAGATGAAACTGTAAGTCTGATAAGTATTAACACGCAGGGAGGAATAGATAATATATGAGAGGGCAAAACAGCTAATCAAACTAGTTCTGATGATCCCTGCTGTAGTAGTTTAGTAAGGCTGCATGCGGGAAATATAGTATTTCCAGAAAGTTTAAGACCTTAACCAAAGGCATCGGCAAGAAAAATGAATCGAGTTTCCCGTCGTAAACGAGGGACTGCAATACTCACTGACACTCCAGTAAAAGACGAATTAGAGGAAGAGAAAAATAAATGCTCGAACAAGAAAAAGAGGAACAGTGAAAAGGAACGTTTTGATTCAGAAAAAGTTCTGTTCAGATAATGAAACTGATCGAGAAGAATGTTTTTGCTTGATTTGTCTTGAACCATTTTCTAACAGCGCGTCAAATGAAGAATGGGTGAAATGCTCATCGT